AACATAGGAGGTGTTCAATGGCAATACATGTATGTAATAAAGATTCTGTGAAGGTTTCATACAAATTTCACTCAGTTGTATACGAGGAGTTGCTGATAAGAGATGGGTACCCCAAAGCGCAACAGACAGACGGACGGACAGACGGACTGACGGACGGGCATACCGATTACAGTATACCTTCCCACTTTTCAAGCGGGGGTATAATGAATTTCATACCTTTAAATTTTTCATTAAAGTACTGTGTAATTGTGTGATTTTTTTTAGTCCATTAGATTTCAATCACTTAGTGTTTTAAAACAATAAATCAATTTTTATGGAACGCCGTAACTGGCTTATGTGGAGAACTTTCATTATATGCTGGTACTTTGTCATTATATGATGGTATTTTGTCATTATATGATGGTACTTTGTCATTATATGCTTGTACTTTGTCATTATATGATGGTATTTTGTCATTATATGATAGTACTTTATCATTATATGCTTGTACTTTGTCATTATATGATGGTATTTTGTCATTATATGCTACTACTTTTCATTATATGCTGCTACTTTTCATTAAATGCCACTACTTTGTCATTATATGCTACTACTTTTCATTATATGCTACTACTTTTCATTATATGCTACTACTTTTCATTATATGATAATACTTCAACATTATGGGTCCGCAGGTGATCGATAGATTTGTAGAAGAGAGAATAGATGTTATAATATTTTAAGCTTGTCAGAGCGATGAACAATTGAGCAGTTCTGGATTTACTACTATTGACGATCGAATTCGTCTCAGAGATATGATCAAATGCAAGCCCGAGAGAAGTTCAAACTCCTGTGGCGTAATAAGGACAAGCGGTAAATATAGTCTTCCCGACTCCCAACGGTCCCGGATTTTGATTTCTGACGATTTCTCTTTTTCAAGGTGCTCACAAACTATTCAAGCACATTTTACAGGTATAAATGAATTCATTCGTGCATAAAAACTTAGAACAAATTCGTGTATTTATTACTGAACCAGATGTATCACTTGCCAGAAAGCGGTAAATCTAGAACTCTTGTTATATGTAAAAACCAAAAACAGATACCGAATCGCAATTATAAATCACAAAAATTAAAAATGAAGTATATTTTTTTTTAAATAAAGGAAAACCTCATTTACCTGCCAGATAATTTGTATGCACAAAAACACCCACATATTTTCTTTTTTTTTTCTTGTATACTAGTAGAGCTCTTTGTCACATCATGTTCACAGGCGGGCTCTACGACGTTGACATGGTTCTACCTCGGAGCCCCCCCCCTTTTATTTATTTTGTAACTTAATTACTGTAAAAGCACAAATAGTTTTTTTGTCAATAGCTTTGATTTAGCAGTAGTTTACCATACAGAATTACTTTTTTTTATTTGACAGACTGACGGAGTATCTGTTCGCTCTGTATCAGGTGATTAGGAAATTATTTTACCTAATTAAGCTAACACTGCTTCAATAAAGCTTTTAGTAATAAGTGATTATCGTCTCCGTTGACATGTTTAAAAAAATTATATGATTGAAATTCTTAAGGCAACTGACTTTAACCCCTTCCATGGCATATACGCTTTTCTACGCCTCTGGCGTGAAAAACGTGTATAGTGTAAACAAATATTCATAACTTCTTTAATACTGCGAATATTGGAATAATTTTTGTATCATTAGAAAGAGGGAACAATTGCAAAGAAAGTTTGTTCTAAATTTTTTTAAATTTGATATACCAGTTTTTTTGTATCTTGAGTTAAACAACGTGTATTATTCAAGTGATATTTGCCGCGATCGAAATCCACGCGGTACAAACACTCGTCAATTTTTCGTGGCAAAACACGTTTAAACAACTTCAGAAAATATCATAACCACACAGTTTATTTAATTAGATGTGTTTAAAACTAATTATCTACTGAAAATATAAATAAGCACGTTAGATAATGATAGAAAATGTTTTTAGTTGACCAATTCAAAAAATATTTTTGAGAGTTACGTTCGTATTACGATAAATGGAAATGAAAATGTTTGAATTTTCCCGGAAGAGAAAAAAAACGAGTAAAAAATTGTTAAAAATACATAAACCATTTTTTTTTTACAATAAAGTAGATGGTTTTGTTGTTTTGATAAAAAAGAAAACATGCGAAAATATAATGAAAATCAGTCGGGATCGTCCTGCGTATATTTGGCAACATTCGTATCACATGTAAACAATATGGCTTCTTGCAACATTTCTTCGTCCTCAGAATCGTCAGATATAGATACAGACGAAGAATTTGACGATGATTCATCCGAGTCTGGATCAGATTTTGATCAGGATGATTCAGACAGCGACCATTCTTTTGGAAGGGAGACAGACAGCGATGACAACCAGGACACAGATTCCACATTATTTGACCTAATCTCAGCAAGATGTCGTAGGGACTTAAATATTTGGTCGGACGTCCACTACGACATCTCAGTCCACTTCCACACAACGTGATTAGGGATTTTTTGCTCAGATTTCGACCGCTTGTTTCAATCAATATGGGCTGAAATGAATTATCTGCTCGCTTCAACTTTTTCCTTTTAACATCCCTTTAAGTCTCTATCACAATAAAACTTTCCTTTCTTACCTTTAAAATGTTTAAATCCAACAAAATATAAAGTTGTTTATTTTTCCTCTGTAATGTTCTATTCATTTCAGACGCGGATCCAGAAATTTTTTCCAGGGGGGGGTCAACCCAGTCCAAAAAAAATTCCAATCCCAGAAATTCCTTGACAAGCAAAAAAAAAAAAAAAAAAAAAAAAAAAAAAGTTAGCTAGCCCAAAAGTAAAAAACCTATTTCGTGGGGGGGGTTAGGCTATGACTTCTATTGCCTCAATTCTTTCACTTTTCATACCCATTTCACACATATTCATGTTCACCAGGGGGGTCAGCATTTTCCAGGGGGGGGGGGTCCAAGGTAACTTTTCTCTTGCTTTAGTATATACATTTTTTAACCGTCGAAATTCCAGGGGGGGTCCTGACCCCCCGACCCCCCCCCCCCTCTCTAGATCCGCGCATGCATTTAAACCTCCGATGTTGAAGAGTTCCAGAATAGTCTGCTTTGAATAATTCGTATTATTACCTAATCAAGTGAATTTTCTTGTTTTATTAGAGATTTAATATTTTCATCTATTCTGTATGTGTTTTCAGTTTTTCTTATCTTTTCAAACCAATCTATTGACCGGTCAATAGACAGCGCGTTCTATTGACCGGTAATGTATTTCGGAAAAAAAACGATCCGGGTTTCGAATTTATTTGTTTGTAACAATGCACAGACATGGTAAACAATCATCTTGTTTGATCTTTCGACATTGGTTTTAAAAATTGTATGATTTCAATGGTCGGGTATTTTATTTAATGAGAGTTACTTTAATTAATACACTGTGGGACGTTGAGACCGATCCTTCGGTGAGACCTATAAACCGAGGTCCCGTGTAGCAGTAGGTGCTCTGCTGGCACGAAAAAGGTCTCTCTCCACCGGGAAATGGTGGCGTCTCCATAAGAGTGAAAAATTTTCGAGAGGAATGTAAACAATATCTATACAATCAATCTTTAATTAATATTACATATGCACCATATCTGGGTATAAATTTACAATATGGTACGGGAACCTTCTGTACTGAATATACAACTGTGAACACTTAATACGGAAAATAAAATTAGGTAATAAAACAATTATTTAATGCCTGAGCAGTCAATAGGCCAGAAAATTTTTCCCTCGGTGCAGGGAACAGCTCAGTGTGTTCTATTGCCCTCGGCCGCTGGCCTCGGGCAATAGAACACACTGAGCTGTTCCCTGCATCTCGGGAAAATATTCTGGTCTATTGACTGCTCAGACATTAAATAATTGTATACTATTGTTCATTCCTATAGGAAATAGTAGTAGAACGAATAATTCAGAGCAGATTATTGTGGAACTCTTCAACATCGGAGGTTTAAATGAATGGAACATTACAGAGGAAAAATAAACAACTTTATATTTTGTTGGATTTAAACATTTTAAAGGTAAGAAAGGAAAGTTTTATTGTGATAGAGACATAAAGGGATGTTAAAAGGAAAAAGTTGAAGCGAGCAGATAATTCATTTCAGCCCATATTGATTGAAACAAGCGGTCGAAATCTGAGCAAAAAATCCCTAATCACGTTGTGTGGAAGTGGACTGAGATGTCGTAGTGGACGTCCGACCAAATATTTAAGTCCCTACGACATCTCGCTGAGATTATATTTGACCTTGATAGCCAGGCCAGCGACATTAGAGATTCTGACTTCTGGACTGATGTTGTGGAAGACTTTGATGTTCCAGGCTTCATCGATACTTCAGGTCCCACTCATCAGATCTCTTCGGATGCAAATCCTCTGTTATATTTCCTGCTCTTGTTTCCCTTGAGTCTGGTACAGGTACTCGTGGACAACACCAATTCGTATGCTGCTCAAAGTGGAGCCCTGGGTTGGACCGATACCACCATCGACGAGATGAAGGCATTCCTCGGATTACAAATTCTGATGGGGATTATTCAGCTTCCCAGATACACTATGTATTGGTCATCTGATAAGTTTATCGGTAAGTTATCAAATTTGCACCTATGTTTTGTTTCTTTAGATTACTTTCTGTTCACAATGATGTTCATGTTACAATTTGAAAAAAAAATATTGTCAGTCATTTTCCTTTCCAGATTTTAAAAAGTACATCAAATTTTATTATATTTACAACGGACACTGATCCATTTTTCCTTGATAAAAAAATAAAAATAAGGAATATTGTTACATATAATGAACTTATGCTAAGTTCATAATTGTTGTGTCTCAACTGTCTGGAAACCTTCATGACTACAATTTTACTTTTTTTTGTTTTTGTTTTGTGTGTGTTACAAAGAGATAAACATAATGTACTATACATTTTTGTTTTTGTCTATAAATTGCACACCCATTCAATTTGTTTCATTTGTATTAAATTTATGTTTGTTACTTATGGTATTTTTCCAACACAGGTCCTGTCAAGGTCCTCTTCGTCGGACTCCAAACTTGCTTTGTGACTACTTGGGTTACTACCGGTGTAATCGGTTTTAAAGTCTACTTTGTAATTATAGAGCACATCCTGGTCCTTCCAGAAGTTGTCTAGTCTATTCTTGAAAGTATTCAGAGTTTTAGCACTTACAACATCCTCTGGTAAGCTATTCCATAGACTGACAGTTCTAACACTGAAGCTGAATTTTCTTATATTGAGTCTCGGTCTCTGTACAAACAGCTTCTTGGAATTCCCTCTTCCTTGTTCCCTAGTAACGTGGTCTCTCCTTAACTTGATAAAGTCTGCTGCTAATGGGTCATACTTTCCACTTGTTATTTTGTACACTTCAATCATATCTCCTCGGTGGCGCCTGTACTTCAGCGTTGGTAGTTTTAGTTTCTTCAACCTTTCTTCATAGCTTAATTTTGCCAATCCTGGAATCTGCTTGGTAGCTCTTCTCTGCACTCCTTCAATCATCTCTATGTGTCTTGATTTGAAAGGGAACCAGACCGAACTCGCATAGTCTAAATGTGACCTGACAAGTGTCTTATAAAGAGGAATGAATGTTTCTTCGTCCAAATGTTGAAAAGTTCGCCTTAACATTGCAAAAATAGAATTTGCCTTTTTCACCTTCTCGCTTATGTGTCTGTCAAAGCTGAGTTGTTCATCTATGATGACTCCTATGATGACTCCTATGTCTTTTTCCTCTTGTACCTTCTCCAGAGTGCGTCCTAACAGCTCATACTCAAAGTCTTGGTCTGGGTCTTTCTTTCCAATGTGCATGTGTTTACATTTTTCTGGATGGAACTTTAAGAGCCAGGTGTTACTCCATTCTGTTAGTTTCTCAAGATCTCTTTGAAGTGTCATTTTATCTTCCCTACCCTTAACTATGTTGAAGATTTTCGTGTCGTCGGCAAATAGGTAGAGCTCACGATATCAGGGAGATCGTTGATAAATATGACGAACATTATCGGCCCAATTACTGACCCCTGCGGAATGCCGGAAGTTACGCTATGCCATTTAGATGTTGCCCCGTTTATGGATACTTGTTGTTTCCTTCCACTTAGGTAGTTCCTTATCCAGTCTATAAGTTCTTTCCCTATTCCATATGCTTTCAGTTTCTTAAGCAGTCTGTTATGTGGGACAGTATCAAAGGCCTTCTGATAGTCCATGTAGATACAGTCAACATCATGTCCACTGTCCAAAGCCTCTGTCCATTCCTCTAATACCCTTAACAGTTGTAGTGAAGTTGATCTACCACTGATAAAGCCATATTGTTTAGTTGTAAAGAGGTTGTTGCTTACAAAATGCTCTATTATGTGGTCCCTAACTAGTCTCTCCATGACTTTACACACCACTGACGTTAAGCTCACTGGTCTGTAGTTTCCTGCTATCGCCTTGTTTCCTTTTTTAAAGATCGCGCTAATGCGTGCTGTTTTCCATTCTTCTGGAACTTTTCTCTCATCTACTGACTTCCTAAAGATCCTTGCTAGGGGTTCTTCTAATTCCACTCTTAATTCCCTCAATAGCCTTGGATGCATGTTGTCTAATCCTGGTGACTTATCTGGCTTAAACAGGTTCAGTGCTTTGATAATTCCTTCCTCCAATATTCTTAATCCTATCCACTCCTTCTTGATAGGGCGTTTGTCCAGTTCGGGTATGGCTTCCTCAGGTTCTTGTGTAAAAACGCTACTAAAAAAGTCTGCTAAAATATTTGCTTTTCTCTTCATCCACTTCTGTTTTATTGGACTTTGGATTTTTAGGGTCGACACACAGTTCCCCGATTCCTTGTCTCGTTTTACTTTTTGAGTTAATATACTGCCATATCTTTTTTGGGTTAGTTTTTGCCTCTTGTGCTATACTCTTTTCGAATGACTTCCTTGCTTTCCTCACAAACTTTGCCACTTTGTTCCTAGTCCTATTGTACTTTTTCCTTATATTTGGATCCTTGGTAGCCACATATTTTCTGCACAGTGCGTTTTTTTCTTTAATCAAGGTGACAGTTTCTTTGTCCAAGGGCATTTTCGTTTTTCTGCTTGGTCTGATGGTGACTACTGGCACATATTTATCTTCTATGTCCTCAATTTTTTGTCGGAATTGACGCCACATCTCGTTTACTGTGCTCTGTGACTCCAGAATGCTTTCCCAATCTGTTTCGCTAATTTCCTTCTTCATACCCGCAAAGTTAGCTTTCCTATAAGTCCTCCTCTTTTTTGGTCCGCTTTTCAGTATTGCACTGCAAACATAGTTAAAGCAGATAACACAGTGATCGCTCTTTCCTAATGGGCTTTGGTATTCCATTTCCTCCACAGCATTTTCATCCTTTGTGATCACAAGATCCAAAATGGTTGGAATGTTCGTTCCTCTCCACCTTGTTGGTTTTGTGACGGTTTGGAACATGAAGTTGTCCTGCAGACAATCTATGAATTTCTGCTCAGCAGAGTTTTCACTTTTTGTACACAGTAAATCCCAGTCTATATTAGGATAGTTGAAATCTCCCATAATGAGATAGTGTTTGCACTTCATTCTTGAGGCTTCAGTTATCAGGTTTCTTAAACATTCATTTTTTCTTCGGTATTGTCTGACGGTGACCGATAAATGATGCCAACTAGGAAATAGTCTGTGCTGTTTATCTTTATTTTCACAAAAAGCTGCTCCTCAAAGGACGCTGAAAGTTTTGCCTCCTCTGCATAAAGAGAATCATGTACATATAAAAGTAGTCCTCTACCTATGCTGCTTTCAATATTTACATGAAACATCCTGTATTCCTTCGTCCAAACCATCGTATATTCAGCTGGATTAGGTGCACATGTTGCATTTTTTGCCTTCACTTCTGTTATACCTATTATCAATGGCTTTGTGTCCCTTATCCTGACCTGGAACTCATTGAACTTATTTCTAAATTGGTCTTCATTGGTGTAAAAGAACGAAAGTTTGTTTATCACTTAAAACTATATATATTATTTACATTCCTCTTTGTATCTTCTAGTCTGGATCGCTTACCCTGAGCTTTACCACTTTCCTTGCCCAAGGTGGACCTCGCACACGGTAATTGAATTCCCCCGAACCATTTTTATTCAGTTCCTTGGCTTTCATATACATTTTCTTTTCATTTTCCCTCTCTGTGCGTGTCAAATCATTTGCAAGTCGTACTTCACTGAATTCAATGTTTTCCCGCAACTTTCCACCTCGTTTAAAGAGCTCCACTTTTTTTCTGGGGTTGAGAAGGTAACGAGCAATGGACGGCGTTTCTTATCCTTATGAAATTTACCAAGTCTCACTAACTTTATCATGTTTTCATCTGCGATGTTCACTTCACAAACATCAGCAATTTCTTTCACCTGATCTCTGTCATAGGAACGACGTACTTCCTTTTTGTCTGAGTCACTTTCCTCTATCTCATAGATGATCATGTTACATTCTCTGTTTTTCCTCTCATTAATTTCACTCAGTACTGCTGATACTGGCACGGTGTGTTTTCCAGATTCACTCGCAGTCTCGTCCTCTGTATCAGCTTGATTTGATTCTGTTGATTTCTGTATTGCCTCAGAAACTATCTCCTCACTTGTTCTTCACTGCATTTCTTCTCCATCTCGTCCTCCAGATACTTAATTCTACTGTCGAACATCTTCATCATGTCTTTACATCTCTCCTCAATTTCTCTGTCCACAATGATATTTTTCTCCACTTTTTCTCGGCATGGCACACAGAACCACATGATATCACTACTGTCCATCAGATTGTATTCTTCGACCGACTTGTCCAAGCACTTAATACAAAAGTGGTCCTTGCATCGTTGGCATTCCAGTAATTTGTCACTGGGGTCAGAGAACGAGTATTTGCACAAGTTGCAGTTCCAAATTTCCTCCGTGTCATTTGATCCATTTACAAGTTTATTTGGGGAGTTTGTTCTGGAGTTGTTCCTAGAGTTAGATGCTGATTTAGCAGGTCTACCTCTTCTCTTCAGTTTGTTTTTCCCCGCTTTGATCGAGTCCGCCATCTTGGATTTGTTTACTAGCCATCCTTTGTTGGATATTTCGTAAATTTCGTAGGCAAAATAGATTTTCTCCACCACAGATTTATTGCAAAACCTTCTCAAGCACCTTAGAGACCTACCACTACCCTTTTTTATGCAATTTGAGCTCTTTTAGTTTGCAGAAAAATAATTTTTCTCTCCTTTGTTTTTCCAGTCCATCTACACCGGAAGTCACCCGCTATTCTTTGTATTTTTATTCAAACAATATTTATTTAGATGTTGAGCTGACCAGTGTCTTCAAACCTTTACCATGAAACAACTCAGATCATAAACTTTTCTAAATATTGAGGAATATGTTGAATATAAAATGAAAATACTTTACACCTGCTTAGTGCTCATCTGGAATTGGCAGTGTAAGTCATTTAAAATTGTTTTCATAATTTCTTTTCTCATTTTCTAGAGATGAAATCCATTTATTGTTGAATTTATTTTTTTAAATTGACATTGATAAGTGAAATTTACAATCATATGCAGGTAACATTGGTTTTCAAGAGACGCTGAGTTTGAAAAGATTTGAAAAGCTCACTCGGTATTTCCATCTAAGTGATAATACTACTCAGGGATCCAGAGGAACACCTGAATTTGACAGGTATGCAATTTATAATTCTCTATTTTAATAGTTAATCAATATAAATATTCGAGAAATTATTCAACAGTGATCTTAAATTTATTATAACTGATATTAGTTACAGAAAACCAATAATCAGTTATGAAATTGACACTGATTCACATCACTATAGTTTAGTGTCTTCATTTTGTTTTATACATTTATATGTACATTTGCTAATGTCTTTCCTTATATGACAATATAAATAATTTTGACATTCAATTTTCAATGACATGCAGTTGGGCAAACCGCACGAGACTATTAGAAAGTCTTGACTGTGACGTCGTATGACGCCATAGACTTAGTTACGTTATGTTGCATTTCTATAACAATTTCCAAATAGCACCTATTTTTCCTTGTAACACGAATAAAAGTAAAATATAAATATAAGAAATAAAATATCATGTTTTAGAGTTTCATTGGGATGTGACTTGAAATCGGTACATGATCAAATCTACTATAACGCCCTTCGGGTGTTTTAGAATTTGACCGACTTCATGTCACATCCCAATGAAACTCTAAAAATGATATCTTATTTCTTAAATATTTCACATTTCTTTTCAACAGATTACACAAAATAAGACCTGTACTTGACGAGACAAGAAGGATATTCCGGAGTCAGATGAATCCACCTAAGCAGCAGGCTATTGATGAGGGCATGGTTAAGTACAAAGGGAGATTTTTTGCAAGACAATACATGCCAAATAAACCGGTCAAGAGAGGTTTTAAGGTTTGTATCAATGAAATGCCTATTTGCATTCAATAAATTGATATTGTGATACACAAAATAATGTAATTTTTTAAAATTATTATTTACATATTTAAAAAAAACACTAAGGAAGCATTAAAAAATTTTTTATATGATGATGAGGTGGATCAGGGAATGGATGAGAAGGACAGGTAATCATCCCCCCAGTAACTGGTCCACCGGCTAATGTATATGTCTCTGAAATGCTAGGTGAATAGTTATAAAAAAAATTGATGCAACAAAATATTTTTTTCAGATATTCATGAGATGTGATGAGGATGGTTACTGCTACGATTATTGGCCATATATGGGAAAACATGACTTTTTTCATGGAAAGTCACTAGGAGATGGTAGACCATTGAAATACAAAGGCCATCATGTGTTCTTTGACAGGTTTGTGTTTGAAACAACTTAAAATGACTTCAACATTGTTCAACAAGACTTAGATAAATGATTCATTATCAAAATAATTTCATATTTTTCAATGTCTAATATTTTTATACTTTATATAATATCAGGTTCTTTACATCCATTTCCTTGGTGCGAACCTTGCTTCAGAATGGGATTTTTAGTTGTGGGACAATAAAGAGCGACTCAGAAGGGTTTCCGCCAGAGTTAAGAAATCCGGATTTAAGAAGAGGGGAGACATTACAGATGCAGCACGACCAATTGCTTGCCACTGCTTGGAAAGATAAGAAAACGGTATTACATATTCATTGTCTTCATACAGACATGTACAAATGTTTCAAAATTTAATAAAAAATAGCAACTTTTATCACAATTACACTTCTACCTGCAATTATTAAACTTTCCACTAAAGAGTTAAGGAGGACATAAAGGTCTAGCTGATTAATGATATTCCTGTGCAATTTTTTGTGTATATCTTTGTTAAAAATCTCATAGTGCAAATATAGTTTCAGTGCTTATCTTAAAATCCCAAAGAAGTAAATATATCTATATGTAGCGTAAGGTTAATTTCCAGCTAGGCCTATATCTCTATGTAATTTTATTTTAGGTACATATTTTGAGCACTAATTGTAGTCCGTTTGGAGATGGCCCAGTTGTCCGTCGAACTCGGGGTGGAAATTTTGTTGAGGTTATGTGTCCTCCACCAGTATCTTCCTATCAACGTTATATGAGTGGAGTCGACAGATGCATGCAACACCGCGCAAAGAATCCTGTTGGCAGACCATCCAAAAATACTGGAAGTTTTTCTTCAACTTTTTTATGGAAGTTGCCTTATAAATGCATTTGAGATTTTTTCCAGAACACCTGGTAAGAATCTTCCTGCCAAAACAAGGTTTGACCTGCTGGATTTTAGGATGGATGTGGCTCAGCAACTCATTGGAGGCTTCAGAGGAAGAAAGCAGGGTCATCATTTACAGAGTATTCTTGACCCCCCTCATGTTTTTTGCCATCTGGATCACCTAAAGTCAACATGCAAATGGTGTACCAAACACGGAGAAAAGAAAAGAAAGGAGACAGTTTATGGTTGTAAAGGGTGTAACAAACACTTGTGTAGTGAACAATGTTTCAGGGAATTTCATTCTGATGTTAATCTCTAAGATCAATTTGTTACGTAAGTCACATAATCATGCTTGGAAAATTTGTATGAGATGTCACTTGCAGGAAAACATAAAACATAGGATTACTGTACATTACAATGACTCAAAGATCAAGGGTAATATTCCTTAATTTTACGCATTATATTTCAAAATTTGAATACCACGTATAGAGGCATATCAAATCTTCTAAATGTTATTTTGGAAGCTAAGATTTTATTTTGTAAATGTCCTTAAGTTTGCAAGTTAAGAATGATGTCTACTCAAAGAGGTATTTTTTTTTCAATTATGCAACATTGTGCTATGTCATAGATCAAAGTTCAACTTCATTCTAATTTTGAAAAGTCTATGAATTATAAAGGTTCAAAGTCTTCGATTTTTTTCTATTCTTTTTTGTCAAGAGCCATAAATAACAAGTCATCTATGTTTCTGCTTGTGTAATTTTATCTTCATATTTACTTGAAAGTATTTACCACTTTTAAACAATTATGATTATTCCTACCAGGATTAAAAAGTGTTATAAAAAAAACAAGAATTGTTCGAGAAACAAACACATTTATAATTTATACCTGCACGACAATATTGGAAAAAAGCTTTAGAATTTGTTATTGTGAAGAAAATCGTTGTTGACTGGTCAGGGGCAAACATTCTATCAAACCAAAAATCACCAGAAGAGTAATTTATTCTTCAGAGGATAACAGTGAACAAAAATTGTTGTATGAAAAGCAACAATGTAATTAAAATCAGACTTCTTAGATCTGCACCGTATAAACTATTTGAGCAAAGGGTTTTCAAGAACTTGAATGGTTAATATATCTTTATATATTTTGAATAGTTTGACCTTTGAGGCTTTGACCTTCTGACCTCCATCTCAAAAGGGGTCATTTACTTACTAAGGGGTACCAGTGTACATGTACTAAGTTTCTTGTCTGTCAAGCAAAGGATTTTTCAGACATGGAATGAGTAATACTTGGTCTACGATTGCGAGAGATAGCTGTCAAGCAACATTACTCTTCCTTTTCCCTACTGGAGCATAAAATGTTGAAATCCTGTATTTACTCCATAAAGTGCTTAAAATTTGATGAAAACTTTAGGTAAACAATATGCTGCTATGTCTCAACATCAAAATTTACTTACTTTAAATACTTTACTGAACTAAAAAAGTTAATATATAACTAATTGAAGGTTAAATAGAGGTTTCTCAGTAATTTGGGCATATTTCATTGCCATGGCAACAGAAAGAATGTTTCCATTATCATTTTCAGAAACCTCACAATACCTACTTTCAGAATATATATACACTGGTATTTACAAAAATTACAAGAAATACCCGAAAATGATTAAAATCTTAATATCAATTTCTCTAAAAATGCTAAAAATCTTTGCCATGGAAGGGGTTAAAGGTCATTTTCTTGTTATGGATTTTATGAAAATTAATATGTTCATATTTTTTTTTACACCGCCAATTTCACTGAAAAACTAATTCCATCTTTTTAAAAAGAAGAAATATCTTCCCAAATAATATCAATATTATGATCTACGAAACCCCACGTCTACGCTCATCGCTATGTATCGATAATTAATGAGCATAACTTTAAATTAAATAAAGAAAATATGTAAGAGTTTTTGTGCGTACAAATTATCTGGTAAGTAAATGAGGTTTTCCTTTTATTTTTTATATATGTAGGACTCCAAAGTGCGATGGTCACGCCAAAGTCCGATGGTCTGCGCCAAACCCCGATGGTTTGACACGCCAAAGTCCGCTGAAAACAATTAAAGTTTATGACGTCATAGTACTACTAAAAATGCGATGCCGTGCCATGCCAAGGCCGGATTGTTTAAAATAAATACAAATAAATATTAAATGCAAAGATTTACCCTACTCTTTTGGATATAGGTGCAACACTAACTCTTATCAGTCGAAAAATGTGTAACAACTGTAAGAAAGATATCTTGGATGGGTGCAGGACTAACCCAAATCAGTCCAAAAGTGTGCGAGGACTAACCATAAAATCTCTCACACTATGGTGTTCAAGAACTAACCCTTATCAGTCGAATGGTGTACAAGGACTAACCCTAATAGCTCTGGTGGGCGAAAACAATAAGCAAAATCAGTAAAACTGTATGTTAGACAAATACTAAACAAATGGATTTTGAATGCAGGACAATGTCATGACGTCGGACCATTGTGAAGTCATAAACATAGATTTTTCCTTCGCACCATCGGACTTTGGCGTATAAGACCATCGCACTTTAGCGCAACGTGTCTCATAGGAAACGAGCCATCGGACTTTGGCGTGACCATCGGACTTTGGCGTCCGTAAAGGCAGCGAGCCATCGGTGTTTGGCGCAGACTTAAAAAGAAAACACAAAAATCCTCATTTTGTTGCTTTTAATCGCGATTCTACGAAAACATCGGTGTCCGTTTTTGGTTTTAACATTTATAACAGAGTACTAGATTTACCGCTTTTTGGCAGGTGATAGTCATAGTTCTGATTCAGTAATAAATACGAATGTCTCCTAAAGTCATTAATGAATTCATTTAAACCTAGAAAATGTTAAGAAAAATTGGAATAAATTCTGTGCAACAATAAAAGAAAATCGCTAAAAATCCTAAATCCGGGACCGTCGGGAGTCGGTAAGACTAGATTTACAGCTTGCCATTAAATTCGCCACTGGTGTTTGAACTTCTCTCGGTTTTGCATTTGACCATTTCTCTTAGACGAATTCGATCGCCAATAGTAGTAATTCCATAACTGCTCAACTGTTCATTACTCAAGCTTAAAATATCAATATCTCTTCTCTCTTCTACAATCTATCGATAACCTGTGAACCCATCATTACTTCCTCGAGGACGCTTTTCAATGTGATCGCGTTTTCACAATTTTTTACTTGTTAACGATATCACGATCCCGATGTTATACCTATTTAAAAATTATCTTCATATAATGTTGAAGTATCATCATATAATGTTGAAGTATCAGCATATAATGACAAAGTAGTAGCATATAATGACAAAGTACCAGCATATAATGAAAAGTAGTAGCATATAATGACAAAGTAGTAGCATATAATGACAAAGTAGTAGCATATAGTGACAAAATACCATCATATAATGACAAAATACCATCATATAATGACAAAGTACCATCATATAATGATAAAATACCATCATATAATGACAAAGTAACAGCATATAATGACAAAATACCATCATATAATGACAAAATACAATTATATAATGACAAAATACCATCATATAATGACAAAGTAACAGCATATAATGAAAGTTTTCCACATAAGGCAGTGACGGCGTTCCATAAAATTTTTGTATCATTTTACACTTGTCATCCCACTTCAATTGAGTGTTTGACGTCACAAATACATGATAAGTATTGAGAAAATTATTATTTTATTATGCATTTCATTTTGCAACTTGATATATTTAAAAGAAAATCACGAGTTTTTAGCTCTACTGGTCAGAGGTCAGAAGAGCTTATGAGATAGTAATGCGTTCTTCGTCCGTCTGTTTGTAAACAATTTTTCAAAATGCTAATCCTCCTACAGTTTTGGTCTGATTTCAATATTACTTTCCACACAAGTAGACTATACTAAGATACATAATACTTTATATCATTTTTTGATTTTGATGAACGGTTTTGCCGTGGTTACTAAACATTGAAATTTCTGTGAAATACTTTTAAAATGCTACTCCTCCTACAGTTTTGGTTGATTTCAATATATCTTAATTGGCACACAAGTAGTACGTAATTTTGTATATCGGTTTTTTGATTTTGATGAACGGTGTTGCCGTGGTTACTGAAAATAGAAATTTCTGTGAAATACTTTTAAAATGCTACTCCTCCTACATTTTTTGACTGATTTCAATATAACTTGGCACACGAGTATACTACACTAAGATACATAATTCTATATATCGGTTTTTAATTTCGACAAACGGTGTTGCCGTGGTTACGAAAAATAGAAATTTATTTAAAATACTTTAAAAATGCTACTCTTCCTACAGGTTTTGTCTGATTTCTGTTTAACTTGGCACATAAGTAAACTAAACTGAGATACATAATTCTATATATCGGTTTCTGATTTCGATGAACAGTGTTGCCGTGGTTACTAGAAATAGAAATTTCTGTGAAATACTTTCAAAATGCTACTCCAAATACAGTTTTAGTCTGATTATAATATAATTTGGCTTGCAAGGAGACTACATTGAGATACATAATTATCAGTTTTGTATTTTTGATTTTGATGAACGAAGTTGGCATAGTAACTAAAATTGAAAATTCTGTAAAATTCTATTAAAAGTTACTCTTACAGTTGTAGTCTTATGCAATCTTGCCACAAAGAGAACTGAATCAAGGATCATTATTTTATTTATTGCTTTTGTAAAGTTTTATGTTCCAATTTATGAAATTATCCTAAGATACTCTAAATTCAATTTAGTTCATATCACTCTAGATCTTCCTCTCCCTTTTAGTGGTAGTTTGGAACCGCTTATGCATTTAAGCTTTTCAATACAAAGTGAAGTTTTGCTTTTTTCCCAGCCAATGCTCAGGTGACCGATGTGGCCCCTGGGACACTTAATTTATTTAACTTCAAATTTAAAACAGTAA